GCTTAAACAGCAAAAGTTAACAAAACTTCATAAAGCGGTACATATATTCATCCTTACTTTCCAACTATCTTCCATATAACAAAATCTGGTCTCAGTTTGAATAACAAAGAAATCCTATGTGGGGAACATGTAAAATTGTAAACTTTTCTTGGCTATTGTTTTCAACTCTTGTGATTGGTCAAAATCTTTTAACACAAAAAAACACCCGTTCAAAGTGGAGTGTAAATGCATTTTATTGCGTAAACGGCCTTCATGTAGGTTTATGCATTCTCAGTGTAAAAATGAGAACATTCCTATGTGGCGAAAGCACCGTTGCCGCATAACAAAAGAAATTGCTATCTATTTATTTATTTAATCGCTTTCACCATGATTACAATACTAAAAAAGACTAAGGAAAAAATACATTTGAACAAGACACAAAAACGAAGGACGAAGGTGCGGGACACACAACAGAGCGAGGCTCCAAATTAAGTGTGCCCTTACGGAAAATACACAAATACTAACTATGTAAACATTAAACATTATAAAAAGTATAAAAATCCCAGTTGTAAAAACCATAAGAATGAATCCCTCCCGGATCATTACTTTAATCTTAACATCGGACGTAACCGCTAACGTGTGACGTTTGTCAAACCCTTTAATTTAATACCAATCGCTAAGAGTTTGACAAAGGGAGTTTCAGTTTAACAACGGGATATAAGCAGAAACTTGCTCTAAAAATTGCCTTCGTTGGCTCAGCTTATAATTGGACACATCCAGTAGTGAATAACGCACACCATATTTCTTGGACCAGTAGCAAAGAATCTCGCTTGCCCTTTACAATGGCAGCTGTATATAAGTACGGTTGTGTTCGGTACAAGCATTCCATCCTTAAAAACGTACTCGGCCCCTCTCTCTGTTGAGCATATGGCCGCGAGAATTTTCCATCCCTAAAAAGATATGACGCATCCGCTGTTAGAGCATACATCTGGCTACAATCGAAAACTGATGAACGTGTAAGGCAAACATTGTAACCAGGAAGAGGTTTGTTAACTGACCCTAAGGCGCAGTCTTACGTTTTACGTGCGCAAACTTCGAATGATTTGAATAGCTTGTCAAGCGTTTCTTTTGGTATGAAGTTCCTAGATGGCTTGAATGTTATTCGTTGCGTACGGTCAAGCCCGAAATCTTTAGCCAAAATTATCTAAATATAACAGAGATCTTTGTCTGCCCTGATAGCCATTGTATGTTTTTGAATTATGGATGTATGTTGTGAAGTTTTTGCTACACATGGGCAATGACGTGTTCTAATTACTTCACCAATAGCGTCTTTATACCCTTTGATCGTTACCTATGCATTCCGATTAATGGTTTCTCTTTGTTGTACTTGTTCCCTTCGAACTTATTTAATTAGTTACCTGGACTCAATCAAATTCCAGGATAGCCTTAAAATAATTCCAATAAAAGGATAACGGATGAATTACGTACCGGATGTTCATCTTCTCGGAGCTGAACCAAAGAATCTGCTGCGTCTCCTGCTGTTTGTGCAGTTTCCTTTTTGAACCTGTACTGACAAAGAGTCAGATTCCCAGCCCCAGGCTTTCCTGGCGGACCAGGAGGGCCTTGTGGTGCTAGCTCTGACCCATTCCATCCAGGTAGGCCTATTAGTCCTTGTGGACCAGGGGCTCCCTGAGATCCTTGAGACCCATTGAACCCCCTTGGTCCTCGACGACCCTGCAGTCCAGCAGCTCCCGGAGGTCCTGTAGGTCCCTGTTGGCCAGGAGGCCCAGGTGGTCCCATACATCGGCTGTAATTGAATCCCTGTGATTTACATACGTTGAGCGGGTGAGAACATTGCGTTGGATATCCTGACTTACGGATATTTTCAGAATTTTAGAATTTTCTAACCGAAGAAGTCAAATATAGACTTGTCAACATTTCTATAGTTTATAACGGTCATTGAAAATAATAAACAAGTTCTTTGAAAATGGACTGAAATTTTAAAACAACGTGGAGTACACAAAATATGATCTCAATTCTGTTGATTGCTGTTCGTTTTCTTCTATAGGCATTCTGGCATTTTGATAAGTTATGATGTTTTAGTTTATCCTCACTAATTTTAAGTCGGTTTTACCCATTTCACCCTGAATGAGCTGCCTGCCGATCACTAAGGTGCCGCTTTGGAACTGCCAAACCTTTTTGTCAGTATATCGTAAATCCTCTCTTAAGCCCCTCGGGGGGATTATTTCTTTCGAACACATTTGAGAGAGGGGGGGGGGGGGCTCTTTGGAGAGGGAAACCTTGTTTAATTTAGCAAAAAAAGAGAGTGCTTAGTGGGGATTTACGATATAGGTGTGACGTTACCTAGGCTATTGTACTTTTTTGCCTCGCGCCTTCCCTTTCGCACTCGCCAAGTTGCCGACGAGTGATGTTAAGCGGCTCTGTCAGTTCTTTTT